TTATTTTAATTATTATTAATAGATTATTATATACTAATAATAACTAATAAAATAACTCATATGATATAGGTTTTACGTGATCAGTTTGAAGGCATTGATGAGCATTTGATTGGCTTGGCTTGTGGGCCTTCTTGGATAGTTCAATGCTATAAAGCTTTTTGGGTAAACGGTTTTTGATTTCACACTGCCTCATATGGAAAAAACAAGAAAACAATGAATAGCAGTGTATGTGTCACGAGAACCACAAGAACAGATTCAGATTTCGATTTTTATGGGTTGTTGCAGGAAGTTATTGAGCTTCAATATGTTGGCTCCAGACATCGGTAGACAGTTGTTCTATTTAAATGTGATTGGTATGAAATTCCTCTTGCACGAGGACTTGTGGTTGATCGAAAACACCATCTTGTTGATATTAATCCAAATAGAAAATTGAGAACTTATGAGCCTTTTATCTTAGCAAGTCAGCTAAACAAGTGTACTACACTCCATATCCATCACAAAATTTTGTTAGAAAGGGATGGGTTGCTGCATTGAAATGTAGGGCACGAAGTGTTATTGAGATGCCAAATCAACAAGAGGAACAACATGATGATCAAGAACCTATTTTTTAGGATGATGACCTTTCAGCTGCCCAACCAACCATGTCAGATCCTATATTATATGAACCAATTCAACATACTGATGGGACTATATCTGCCATTAATGTCGAAATTGAGGATGTGGATTATGACAGAGAAATTGAGGAAGACGATAGGGAGGAGGAAGAAGAATTTGAAGATTATTATACACATGAGAAAGAAAATATTGAATATATTTTTGAGAGTGATAGTAATGATTAATTAATTGGTGACCCAATAGATTTTGTTATTATTTATTAGTATATGTATGTGGTATTTTATAACACATTAAGTGATATATAAGTAGCTTGACATAAAAAGAAAATTTAATGTGATGTTAAATTATTAATATATATATTGTCTTTAAATTTCATCTTTCATTAATTTTTTTTTAAGTTTAAATATAATGTATTTTTTCCAATCATATACTAATGTAGTATTATTATACATTTTTTTCTTTGTAGTGAATTGAATACCTGGAGCTTGTAGGGGTGACAAGTCCATTGACGTTGCTTCCCAAAGGCCAGTGAGAAAAAATCAATCACAAGGAATTAGGTCTTCGAGTACCATTGTCTGGGAGACCCAAGGGGAAACATGTTGTTATGGTAGTGGCATCGACTCTAGTGCACCCTCACCTCCTCAACCCAAAAAAGGGCAAGGTTATTGCCAAAGCCCAAAAAATGCTCGAGGATCCTTCCCATAAGCTAAGCATTGGGATCTGGGATGGGAAGATATTACCCAAATAGGTTCGAAAGGATATTTCAATAATCCTTAAGTCTAATATGCGTGATGCATATACAGGGTGGGGTTCAATTTCTCGTAAGCACAAGGAAGTGTACTAGCAAGCTTTTCAGGTTGGTAATTTATAATGACATGGTTTTTATTTATATATGTGCATTTTTTTTATAAATCAATTAATATATGAATATATTAAACATATATATATATATTTTTCAGAATATATACGAGTGGGACCCAGTTGAGCAAGGTGCTGTACATATAGCATTTTTAAATGTTTGTGAGAATCGATATAACAGAATGATGATTGATATCTAGGAGTCATGTAGAAAGAAAAATTTTACAGAAAAAAAAGTCATACATGTCTGACGAGATTTGGGAGAAGTTTAAGTATATATGGACTGAGGACCCGAAGTTCAATGCTCGCAGAGAGCAAGCAAAGTTAAATAGAGCAAAAGGGCCCAGGGTAACCCACAGGTGGATCTATGGACTACAATGACTTTGTGCAAAAATTGGTAAAAATGTTACCTTTATCATTTAGGTTTCATATCATAATTTATATAATAATTAATCTTAATGTTAATTGTAATGTTTGTGTCAATTAACACAGTAATTGAATATGTGATATTGCAGAAAGAAAAAGATCCTGAGCATAGGGATCCATCATTTGTTGATGTGATTCGTGCAAAAAAAAAGCATCATCCAAAAGAAAAAGATCAAATGCCAATATATATTGATGAGCAGGCCTGAGAGTACACTGTGAGTTTTATTTCTTTGTCTGTATTATTTATTAAGAGGTTATTTTAATTGATGTTTAATTTCATTGTCACTCATATTAAAGAATTATTTATATTAAGTGAAATCAGATTGTATTTTAATTTTATTGAATATTATCGTTGGAAATATATATATATATATATGATTGAACATAGTTTCATACTTTATTTACAAGGGGAAACTATAGTTTTTAGGAGAAATTCTGTCGGATTTTTTATAAATTTATAATGAATTGTGAAAATTGGCATGTTCCTTTTATGATGATATTTATAATTATATTGAATCTTTAATCAATATTAAATAGGAAAATTAATAAAAATTGTATAGATATATTAAATAAAAAAAAATTAAAGGTGTCGACCTAGTGGGTATTTCATGTTCAAAAAGTAATTCAAATTGTTTGTTTTGGTGGGGCTAATCTTGAATTAGATTTGAAAACACATGTAAATGAAAAAAAAAA